TGAGAGTGTTGGAAGGCTCGCATTTCAAAATAGAACTCCAGCCCTCCTACTCCCGCAAACCACCTGGGAGTTGGTCAGTGCATCAAGCTGTTGCTTGCTATTACTGCTCTTGTGCTTTATTCGATGAAGCATCCTTATAAGCAGGCTCTTACAGAGTTCTTCTAAGAAGGGCATCCACCTACCAGTGTCATACTGACTTCATCTTTACCCTGTGCTGTATGCCTTTCTGCTGTGCAACACAAACTCAGGGGAAGATGACAGGAAGAAGAGTGTTAAATAAATTGTTCCTCTGCATTTCACTTTGAGGGAACTCTTTGTTGTTTATAATGAATCTAGTTTTAAGCAGGGCATGATGGGGGGGGCGTGGTTTGTTTTTGCTGACTCTGCAAACTGATACTTTGAGAGAATTGTCTAGGGAAAGCAAAGAGTCCTTTATTATGTCCGTCACTGCCAAGTGATTTGGCAGATTCCTCCATGAGATGCACAATCTGATAGGCTGAGAGCACGCCTGGCTGGCTGGTTACCAGCAGAAAAGCTCAACTTAAACACTTTTTAAATCTTATTATGGCCAATTTGTGGGTTTGGCTGAAGAAAGGAAAAGGATGAAAAATAGAGGCAGCTGGATGTCAGTGAAGGATGGAATATCGATGTCATTTTCATTGCTGTGCCACACAAAAAAATTACTGGCATTGTACATACGTTGGATCTAGCTAAGGCAAACATGTGCAGGCTAGGTAAACCTGCAGAGATGATTTCATTTGTCTTAGCATTTGTCTGGAAGACCGAGGCGATGTATCACTGTCTCATGAATCAGAGGGCAAGGTCCTTTAATTTGGCTAACTGCTAGTGGACAAAGGGCCTGGCAAGGGCTTTTGCAGAATCTGTGCTGCTTCCCGAATTCAAGGCCAGAGGGAGTCCCCTTCAGCCCCAACACTCACACCACCAGTCCAAGACTGGCTTGTGCCCCGTGGCCACAAGGAGGGAAGGGGCTCTGGGCCACCACAGCTCCCACCCCAGGGGTACCTAGGGGAAGGAAGGCTCTCCCTTCTGCAAATCCCCTGCTGATTTCCAAAGTCAAAACAGCACAAAGAATCTGTTGCATAGGGCTAGATCTGGACATTGATACATACTTCAAGTAATGGCTAGTTCCTGGTCCTTCTAGAAAAGTCTGTTTGGTTTTGATCATCCTTAAAGGTCTGCCTGTCCTGGCTGCATTAAATAATCTTCAAAATGTCTGAATGAAGGTACATACAGCTGTTGGAGAGCCATACAGTCACATAGCAGGAGAAATGCTGGGAGCTTTGTTTTTATGGAGTGAGCCTGTCAAATCAGCATTTAAAGCATAAAATTGTCAACTCTCCAGACAAAGAGAATGCTGAAAGTGTAGAAACCTTGTTCATGTTACAGTTTTATAGAAATAATACTCAACCCAGGTTTAAATTCAAACATGGTAAGACAGAGGTTCCACCAAGTTGTTGCAGCCAAGGGTAGAAACCGGGCCAAAGACTACCTGGCTAAAGGCAACAGGACAACATATATTAACATGGTAACTACAAAATATTTTGCCATTATGAATAGGGGCATAACTTTGTCAGGTTAACTCAGAACCTAAGTAAATCCTTATCTGCAGAAAAAGTAAGAAAAGATAATACTCAGTGACGGAATTGCAGGACCTAAGCACCAAGCAAGGTTTATTTTTAAACACCATTCAAATCAAGCTGGGGTGGGGAGGGAAGAGGTGGTTAACAATTTAAACAAGGTAAATCCCCTATTTTGCAAAATAAGACTCTTTAGGTTAATACCAAAAGACAAAATGTGTCGTCTTGCTCTTTTTTGGCGCTCAGTTTAAAAAAAACACATCCCTTTGGTGAAAACCCTTCTTGCCCTCCAGCTGGACGAGCACTGAGACACCTCTGTCACAGAGCGACCGGCTGCTTCAGCACCCTGCCAGGCAGGGTTGGCTGCTTCTGCATCGAGGAGCAGGCTGTTTCTTGGAAATGTTTATGCAATTCAACTGTGTTGCTGCTGAAGCCACAGACACACACAAAAAAACAGAACACCACCAACCAAAAAAACCCACCCAGCCTCAGACCTCTCAGGCCATTAGTGTATCTCAGGTTTTGCCTTCCACTAAATACTGTCAATTTTCTGTTTTGTTTGGACCTGAAGGGTGGAGGGAGTTGGAGAGTTGCCTTCGCTGCTGTCAGTGCTTCTTAATGATGTTTCTTACTAGAGAAAAATGAGCTTGTTTGTTTGAGAATCCAAATTCGCTGTGGGGCACAGTTTAGGAAACTGAAGATAGGGGAAGGAAAATAATATCTGTTAGGGCAAAGTATAAACATCCATAAAGCAGAATAACAAAACACCTGCAGAGAATGTTGTATCTTTGCCAGCAAACTAATTAACGTCACTGACTGAGGAGGGAGCTGTGACAGCCGAAAAGTTGAAGTAAAAATAAATCAGAAGTTTAGTCTAGCAATTATAACAGGAAATTACCACCGGAGTCAGGGCTCCTACGTTCTTTTCCTGGTTCTGCTTCCGATTTACTGAGCAAGTTGGAAAAGCCAAATTTTAAGAGTAGCTTCTAATTTGGGAAGCCTCCGTTTCTGACACCCAGCTGTACGCACTGAGGACTTCACCAACTAGCATCTTCAGCGCCCTTCTGTGCATTTGCAAGGGCAGAGCATTTCAGGGCATTGGCATCTCCGAAGTCAGCTACCTGACCTGGAGAAACCTAGAGTTATCAGCCGCTCAAAGTGGCCATCTCTGAAAGTTTCCCTGTCTGTGAATTGCAGCTAGCGCAACACATTGCTGTGGGAGTTTGATGTTTGAATGCTCTTTATGGCTGGCATAACATATTGCAGTGGGAGTGTTATGTTTAAATAGTGTTTGTAAACATTTACAAGACTTCTCAGACATACTCTGTCTCCAAAGTCAGTGCTATTACTCTTGGAAATAAGGCACTCTGTGACCTGCACGTTTTCTGAAAGGACTGCTTCTTAGTAGGGGCAACGAAGCTGCATTTCCAGGTCTGACTGCAGGAGGAGTTTGAGTAGAGTGTGACTGAAACTGAGAATCAGAAATAACTCATCTTCTGTTCAGTAACGTAGCCCCAGTTGAAACTACAAATAAAGCAGTCTGTGACACCTCAGGAGCAGGGGGAACGTCTCTCAGTCATGGGAGCTCTCCATACACAGGGTTCCTATTCAATTCCATGAGAATTTCTAAATGAAGAGGGCATGTAGCTCCTTCTTACGCTGACTTGAGTTGTGCTACAAATTCCGCAGAGGCAGAACCAAATTAAGTGTCCAAAATAAGGATATCTGCATAAATTGACATCTTCCTGCCCTACATTCAATTACAATCTCCCATCCTTATCAAGGGACACCATGGATCAGAGGATTACACTCTGGGTGCCTGCCAGCACTCATTTAGTCAAGGAAGTCCAAATGTTTCTCATTATACCACTGAACTTTTTTTTTTCCTTCTGTGCATTACTTCTGTAAATATGCGTCCTAGTGTCAGCTTCATCTTTGCTATGAGCCAGAATATTTACAGTCTGTGAGAGTGAATGTCATGAGGCGAATTATTACAGATGTTTGCCTATTTGTAACGGAGGTTGCTACCACATCTGATCTTGTAAAGAGGAATATTGCTATGCTGAAGAATAAGCATGAAAAATAGAGAATGTTGTTTACTGACACTACAGGAAAAAAGAAGAAAAAAAAAAAGAGGTCAGAGTAGATTTCGGGTTCCCCCTGCTCCTCTTCCCCCTGCCAGCATGCAGGGGGGAAGTACACTCAATGTTCCTTTCCCCCTAGCTCCCATGTACAACCCTGGAGGTAACACAGTGTTCACCATCTCCATCAGCCATGGAAGCTCGAGCCTCAGAGCTCCTGCCAAGATCAGATCTTCTGCCAACCACCTGCTTTTTCAACCCATGTTTTCACATAGAAAATAATTTGGACCTAGACACTGAGAAATCATACAAGCTCCCGAAACAAGAGCAAACCCTTTCCCAGCATGATGGGTCATTTAACTTTTGTAAACTTCCTCTGGGAACCTTAAAAAAAAGTCGCAGAAATATGACATATAAATAAATGACAAAGAATTCTTTGATAGGTAGTCATACCATTCTGCCAGTATATAGGTAAAGTATCTCCCTCTAGGCAACAATAAACACATTAGCATATTATGTACCTTACTATGTTTTTGTTAAATACAATACACAGTGTGAATGAGTATTTGCATAAAGTCATTGTCTATTCTACTAGCTTCCCTAGATAGAGGGGCTTTCTTTAGGGGACATTTAACATTTAGACGTCACAACAGTCCATTTGAGAATCCCTTCCTATATCCTTCAAAATGTGGAAATTGGTGAAACTGTTTACCAAAGAGCAAGAAACCAAATGAAGTTCATGAAATGAATGATTTCCACTAATCAAAACCATGTCTCTCCTCATACTCAATCCCAGTTTGTGCACCTCCATATAATAATGCATATCCTCATATTAATGAATTGCCAATATTTCATTATTTAGAAGCTGTGCAAAGCTGAATTATAAAAATTTCTCTTAATGATATGGTTCTAGTGGGGAATAGACAAGGACCTAGTCAAAAATATAGTCCTTTACTACTGAACTACTTCTCCAGAATCTATATATAACACTGCCAATATGTACTCAATAAAGATAATCTTACAATGAAATGGATATTAAAACTATTCATTGCAAAAAGCGCACAGGCATATTTCTAAATACTATATTCAGTGTCGCTTACACGTTACAAGTCTTCTTGAACTTTTGAATACTTCTTACAGAAGTAACTCTCAGAACTGTTCTAGATTCAATATATGAACTGTTCATTAAGGGGATATGACCTTCACATCTGCCCCCAGTATCTTTTGCCCAAAGTTTCCTCATTAAAAAAAACTTTACTTTTGTTGCTACTCCCCCACACCCCTTTTTGATCATTCATTGCTGCTTCCCTTTGTTTTGTAGGCTCGTCCAAAAGGAGAAGGCCTGACACCATACCAGGGCAAGAAACGCTGCTTTGGTGAATATAAGTGCCCCAAATGCAAGAGAAAATGGATGAGTGGAAACTCCTGGGCTAACATGGGACAAGAATGTATCAAGTGCCACATTAACGTTTATCCTCACAAACAGGTAGGAGAAGTGCAGACCTACTGCCAAACAGGCTTCAAACTAGGAATGCTCTTGACTTTGTAAAGCATGGGTAAGACTTAAACAGGACTCGATGTGGACTGCAACTGCCCCAAAAAATTGTTTCCCAGATGAGCTGCTATTCTCAGTCCTGGAAATCTGGACTAGTGTCAGAGATGCAAAATTTGAATGTCCTATCTTTCAGTAAAAATACCTCCAAAACAAAATCTTTACCTGCCTTTATTATAGAAACAAGCTCTAGAGCCTTATAATCCAAGATGGAGTAAAACAAGTTCAGCAGCAGCAATAGGCTTCCTAGTTCTTCTGATTCTCTTCATATTTATACCAATTTAATGTTTCATTCCACTGGTGTCAGTAGAGTTATTTCCCATGTCTACACTTTTTTCACCTGTAGAAATAAGGTTGGATTTGGTCCATGTGCTATTTATTGGTCTATTTATAAAGATCAGTGATAAAAGAGAACAATACTAAGATGACTCCTGCGTACAGAATTCCTTGGTTAATGACAGTAAGGCAAGACAGCGTGGTTAAAGAGAGGCTTCTAGATTTCCATAATACCAAGTGATGCCCAAGCAAAGAACATCAAGAGAAAGCCTTTTATTAAGCTGAAAGGGTCAAATTTAAGAAGTAACTCTGCTAGGAAAGCTGTATCTGCCACCCTGTCAGCCATAGCTCACATAGTACACACAGCCTTCTTTCCTGCTCCCTGCAGATTGCAGTTGCATCTATCCCTTGAGGTAATTTCCTGCATTTCCAGCTCACAATGGGAAAACTGACTGTCAGTTCCTGCTCGTATCCCACCAGAATTGGTCACAAGCAGTCAGCCAGTTCAGTGGTCTTTAGTGGGAGACAGACAGACCAACTGCATGAGCTCATACCCCTTGTTTCCCTGACAAACGAGGCTACAGACTGGCTGTCAAAGATGAATTTTCACACAGAAAGTCAATTTTGACAATCTCACGAAAAATAAATTTGTCCATGGAAAAATTTGAGGAGAATTTCACAATATTGCAGAAAATTACTGTGTATCGAAAAGGTGAGAATTATTTTAAAAGTTTGGGAGGTGCGATTTGCCTCAGGTGTAATTCATCCTAGCTGAATCTTGGTAATAGAGTTCTGCACGGGTCAAGTTACCTGCTGCCCACTCAGAGACTGCTCAAACCATAGACACATCATTTAGATGTACGTGCAACAGGTGCAAAGGAAATTCCATCAGGAGCCTTAGGTGTCTCATTAGTTACCTAAGTGCTTGCAAAATTCCTGTAAAAACCTCTTTCCATGGGCTCATAAGGAACACTTCATACTATTTCATAAGATTTTGGAGGGGAGGGTGTCGGGGGGGGGAAAAATCCCAAAGAAGGATACTGTGACTTTATTATGATGAAAAGACAGAGGAATATTGAAATTCATTGCAACAAGCAGGAAGAGGAGATACAAATAAGTGTATTAAGCTTTATCCCACAGAGGAATATCAAATCAACTGTATTTCCTCCTCTTGTACACATGTGCATATTCATCTAATTCTAAGAGTGAGATTTGGCTCAGTCTCTATGGCAACATTACATTCTGATATGCACCCAAAAATATTGATTTAGAATTGCTAGTAGCTTGAAGCAGTATGAATTGCAGTTAAAATGTGGTGTTTGAAGTCTGCCATGCTCATGGCAGAAGCCTTGGTTTAAACTTGACATACTTCACAACAGATGATCATCCCTTCTTTCCATCATGGGAATTTTTCTGCTTTACAATGAACTTGTACAATTCCCTGGGTGATACAGTGACTATCTTTTTTTCTGTTGGCCAGTTGAGGTGATGTGATCCATTCCCCTTTCTCTGGGCTAGTGCCACTCCAATTCCAAACCTGAAAACAAGAGGTCATCTTTAGAAACTGCAGTCTAATCTCCCTGACAAAACTGTGACTGGAAACTATATTGCAAGTGAGAAAAAGCAAGGACCTCTTTTTTTGTGGAAGCCTATATATGGAAGGAAAGCTAATCAATTTTCTTTCACTAACTTACACGAGACAATCTCAAAGCTTCCAAGGTCTCTGGTTCCTTGCCTCCATTTAAACAGCTTGTGTAGACAACTGTACCAAAAGCCAGGCTGAGCAAGGAAGTCATTTATCACAAGTATGGAAGTACAGTCTTGAGGGTGAGAGAAGTTACAAGTCCATTAATTTATAACAGAAGTTTATAAATATTTGCCTTGTTCTTGTAAATTCTTTCTATCATTTGTGTTACTATTCAAAGGATCACAAGAAATCGCTCAGGAGGTATCCCATCCACATTATACAAGAGGCATTATAGACTTGGGAATATGTACGTTTTGTAGTAAAGAAGGTTTACAGATAGTCCCTTGGGAAGAATTGCCCCTTGTGGCAGGGCTAGAGGAGTCTAATCTGCTTAGTAGTACTAAAGTCAAAAGACATACTGCGGAAAGGTTGCAGTTTACAGTGCTTCTGTAAGCTGTGCTTGCCTTGGAGCCATATGCGTGGTGTTTTCCAGGGAATAATCGCAGCATGTGCAGTGCAGGTTCCCACAGTTAATCGCATTCACTACATTTCCATACCACTCCCTAAAGTCACCATAACTCAGGATATGGAAGAGCTTTGCTTTTTTTATCTATGTGTTCATGTCCCCCCAGTAGTTATTGCAGCTATTTGAGATCTTCAAGACAAGAGTGCATTTCAACTAGGCTTCCAGATGTAAAAAAACTTGCAGCCAGTCACTAGTGCTCTTTCCCAAAATTTGAACTTAAAACCTCGAGTTGAAAGTTTTTCTATCCTGCTGTCACTGCCTCACCTCCACCTGTTTCTATTTCTCAGTGTTACTATGGTCATTCTTTCTAGTCTTTTTCATTCTTTCAGAGGTGCTCTGTGCTGCTTCTGGTTAAACATACCAGCAATAGCCAGACAGTAAAGAAAACAGCATCAGTTCATGTACAGAGCCAGCAGCAAAGGAGAGCTGCACGAGGTCAGCACTGCTTCTTGACGGAGCCTAGTGTTTGCTAACCCATACATGTTTTTTGTCCAAGCATCCAGCTCCACGCCAGGCTCTCTTATCAACTTTTATCAACATTTATCCATGTGGTGTCATTCTTCACTATTTTGGAAAATATGCACTACCCAGTCACCAGTACTTTTATACTAATGACTATATTTTGTAAAAGCGCAGTGAAATACATTTAATTAAAAAGTCCAATATTTCTAGTTTGAGAGTTAAAGCACAAAGAAAATCTTATTGTGCACATAAGATTGGTTTAGTAGGTTTTTTAAATTATCACTGCTACACCACCTTAACATTTTCTGTATATATTTCCTATTTGTTCTTTAGATTTTGACTGCTTTGTTGGCACCTACCATAGGAGAGTCATCATTCATGTTTGAGTTCCTATGCACTTCTAGAAGTTTTTAGCAATCACTTCCCCCCACCCCCCCATCCTCAGCTAATTGTTTCTACTGCCTTTATTACATGAGATCAGAGTATTTTCACTCATCTGAATCTTCCATTAAGTAGTTTTTCCAACTTAAACAACTTGTCTAAGAAAAGATGCTGCCTCTCCCTGGAAACCATGTTTCTCTTGTGCCATTTTAACTCCATTCAAGAAAAAAGATATCAGTGTTGCTGTTTTCTAGTGTCTGTTCTTTCACTGCAGAGTCACACCATGTGATGTGATCATAGGACAAGTAATCCATAAATGGATTATTTTTTTTTGATTTAACAAAACCCAGATGAACTGGCCAGACAGGAGAAGTTTGACCTCCATTCAAGATCAGACAGTATTTACCTCTAGTGAAATAAATGATTTCTACTTCCAAACAATCCTGTCAATATTTCTTCTCTGCAATGTGTTGGAATTCATCATCTCCTTTTCTTACTCCTTGCCCTACCGTTTGGTAAACGTATCATTGTGACCTAACAGATTAAAAGGTATCTTGAACACTGTTAAAAAAATTATCAGCAGATGAAAATCATTATTGGTTCCTCAGCATTAAATATCCTTATGTGAAGTTACAAGAGCCTCCAAAACTACAAAAGTTACTTAACTGCAAACAACTCAGACCATGTCTAAAACCAGTCAGGTGCCACATTTCTCTGGTGAGGGCATATTATAAAAAGTCTCTGTTCACAATAGTATATACAGCACTAAAACTCATAACAGGTCAGATCAGCCTCCCCGGTTCCACATCTGACAGTAGAGAACAGTTACAGGAAAGTGTGGGTATAGGCAAGACACAGCACCCACCTCCAAGGATACTTTCCCAATCTCTGGTATGGCCAGGTCAGTATCTCTGCAGTTCCCCAGTTTCTCACCAAATAGATCAACCTCTGTGGCATCTATTCAATAGCTAAAATATAACTACATGGGCCACCAAACCTTGCTATATCACCCTGAGTATTGGGGATTAGGATGCTTTTGTCTCATTTCAGAGGAAAAAATTGAAATCCTTATTTCAGGATTGCTTGATATTCATTGCAGCAAATTAGGAGTTTGTTCTCAATTGCCAGGCTTACCCTTTTCTCCAGTCCTCATCTCCATCTCTGTATTTTGTCTTCACCAGTTGTTTTCCTCAATCTATGAACTTTTCAATTCTGTAGGGCTTGTCCACATTGTCTCACAAGGGATGGTTCATGCCTGACTACACCCATGTAACTGGCTCAGGCAATAATATCAGAGTACTGAAGATAATAATCTCCACTCTGGATAGCTCCGGGGTAGCCATTCAAGCACATATGCTGGGTCTGTGGACGGCTTGTGCAGCTATGCTCAAATGTTGATTTCCTACGCATACCTTTCAGTAGTGAGTCCCTGGAGAAGAGAGCAGCCACACTTCCCTGCCACCTGCTCTGTGTTCCTGGAGGCTCATTTCACTCAGGAAACAATCCTGCGCCAATTCCCCAGAAGGAATGTCTCAATTCAGCCCTGTGCTCTTACTCTGCATACCCTATCTGTGAGAATGAGCTTTTAATCTCTCTGGGGCA